TGTAAATAAAGAGCAGCTATACTAAGCCTATTTCATTTAAATAATAATACAAAGAGTTGATACTGATCTGGTTTATGCACAGACTCCAAAGTGCTTTCCATTGACAGACAGAGAGCATCCCTCCGTGTTTGGGAATGGGAAAACAAAATTGCACAGAGGTTTGCCCAGGGCAGTGAAGAAAAACACAGCCAGAAGAGGAATACAAACCATCACTCCTGGCTCCAGTACATAAAGCTAGGAGAATACATATGTGCCAGCAGTAATATTCATGTTAATGAATAGGCAGCAATCTGTTTAAAATTGCTTCTTTCATAAAGCCCATTTGTCAGTACACCAGCTTAGCTGATCCAACTGCAGCAGATTGTATTTGTATTATCACAGAGACATTTGGGGGAGGTCAGCCCATAATACTGTAGCATATTGTTGGCTTTCACCTTCTTTGATGAAATTTTTTCTTTTCCCCAAAGGAAATAATTTAAAAATTCTCTGAACCAATTTCTTTATCTTTTCGGCTTTTGCATTTAAGGGAAGACAATTATTACCAGCCAGCACTCCAGTATTATTTGGTATAAAAGGAAGTGTGTCCTGCCATCACACAGAAGAGATGTTTTAAACTGATGCAGACTTTCTCTTCACTTTAGCATGAGGCTGTTAGTAATTATTCTCCTTACTCTAAATCTTTAGTATTATTTTAAGTTAAAGGTCATATTTGTGAAAGGCTTGAGATAAACAACTCTGGAATCTCCTGATTTCCATGGAGCCACTGAACAGACTGATTCTTCCAAAATTCACTGCCAAATGAACCTCCCTGCAGCCTGAGATAGACTGGGACCATCCCTGGGCAGGAGACTCTTTAAGTGTGGATTTCCAGAGCTCTTGCAGGCTTCCACAGGGTGGAAGATGGTCCACATGCCAAGAGACAGAAAGGATGTTCTCCCAAAGAAAAATCCAGTCTTTCTAAAGATTGTATGGGAAATGCCTGACAAATTATCTCCTCTTCACTGAGTAACTTCAGTGAATATGCCAAATATTTACAGAACAAAACAATGATCACAACTAATTGTGGAGCAGGGACAAAAACACCAACACCTTGTTCACCATGGAGGCAGTTCCTGTTCCATGGATGTTGGAGAGGAGCAGCAGCTGTGCTGTAGGGTTGTGCATTTATTGCTCTTCCAGAAAAGCCTGTGCAGGGAGCTCCTGGCTGCGGCTGGGCTGCACAGACCTGGGTGATGCTGTCCATGCAGGCTGGGGGAATTCCTGCTTGCCTCATCCAGCTGCCCCTCTGGCCCTGGGCCAGAGCCTTGTGTGTGCAATCCTCAGGCCACTGAAGGAACTCTGACCAACACATGGTGACCCCAAGGAAGAAGGGGCAGCAGTGTGGTGCCACTGCACCCCTGCTGAAGATTCACACACCGTGGGACTTCACACACTGTCCTCCAGAGCTCACAGCTTCTGTGTCCTCCTCACCCTGCCTGTGGTTTTTACCACTAATGCAGGGTCATTTCCTGTTGGTTTTTTCAGCTGAGGCATGGCCACTGAAAAAGATCAACTGGATTTGAAATGTGAGCAGAGAATTCAAGCTGGATCCTGAGGTTTGGGTGAATGACCTTAAGAATTCAGTGTCTTCAAACCTGGTGCTTTACTGGGTCAGCCAAGTTTGATTCCTACTGCTGATGGCACTCAGCCATAGTTTCAGGAGTGACTGCAAATTGAGGTGGTACCAAGCTGTGCTTATGGAGAGCTGTTTTGTCTCTGAGCTGGCAGGAACCAGGAGTCCCTAATCAGCAGGGCCAGGTGAACGCTGTGATATTGAATTCTGCAGCTCCCTAATGCTCACTTTGATCAGCACTACCTGCTTGGTTTGATTATCTTCACACCTTTCCCAGCTTCACAAGCAGGTTTTTGTTCAGAAATAACATCTGAGTCATGGCCATTCTTGTGAAAAACCTCTTTTTAGATAATCCAGGTCAAGAGTGCACACCTAAGAGTTTGTTATTTTTTTTCCCCCTTCATTATTCATTTGTTTAAAAAAAGCCTCACATCCAACAGTGGGAAAAAATGCTACAAGACTCAAGTGAACCTTGAGACACTGTAGGAAATGAATAGCAAACACCTGACTCATGAAAGTCTGTCAACTAATTAGTGTTCATCAGACTCCTCAACAAAGATTTAAAAATAAAAAACATGCTTGCATAATTCAGGATCAGATTGCAAACGATTTCTGATTCTTAAAAAGAGCTAAGTTTGCTCATCTGTCTATTTAAAACAAGCAACAAGATCTGAGCATCTGCATTGTTTGGAAAGAATTTGGATGGTAATTGAAGAGGAGATAAAGAAAATGAATCAGTCTGGAAAGCTATTACAGAACTACTCCTTTTTACTCCTTTGTTACGTGCAAACCCATCTCAAAATTCACCTGGAATCAAAATACCAAAAACGTATTGCAAATGCTCTCCAAGGTTGTATGACAAAACTAAGTTTTTTTCAACGTTTCCAGTGGTTTTTAAATTTGACTCCATGGAGCCAAAGGCCAAATGCCCCTGGAAGCCTGGCTGTGCAGGGCACTGCCTTGACAGGGCTTCAGCCCTGAGTTCTGGGCCCAAATTGCACCTGGTCACACAATGGAAGTGCAAGGACTGTGCTCCTACTCCAGCTTTGAGTGCAAGATAAGCTGAAAAAATTTTTAAAACATCCCAACAAAAATAAGAAGCAATAGAAAAGAAATCCTGCAGGTTTTGTTGTTGTAGGCAAACCATGACAAGAAGATCCCTAGGACTGGTCATTAGCACTTCTGATGGATTTTAAGCCTTCCAAGGTTGGGTGCTGAAAAGTTCTGCTGCCCCAGCATGGTAATACTGTTTGTAGTTTGTAGGACAGAGACACTGCAGGGATGAAATCTCTCTCTACTGGTGGTGTTTTGTGTCTCTCCTCTTCCTCTCTCACTGCTCCAAGGAGGTGGGATTCAGAGGGGCTCCATCCCAGGCTTGATGCCTTCAGGTGCACACCAGCATCCTTCTTCCATGCCATGAGAATTCAGGACATCCAGCCCTAGCAAAATATCCTGCAGATATCCAGGGAGAATGAATGTTCTCACCCTTCATTGTCCCTAAGCTCCCACTGCCGGAGTCCTAGAGCTGCTGGTGAGCACTGTCCTGGCTGGAAGGAGAGCAGGACAAAGCACAAATGCTGTCATTCACTGCTGCCCCTAAAATGTCATCCATCACAGGTTAAGGCTGGTAGCATCTAAAAGGTGTAAGACCAGCTATAATCAACATTTGCAGTTTGTTCACCAGCTTTCAGTAAGGGATTTGCTGGTACTTCTCAATACTGGGGGATGGTGAAGAATGAAAATTTTAGTCTTCACATGCCAAATTAGCAACATCTCTAAAATCCTGCATCTTCTATAAGATCTGCAATGCCACCATCTGAATGGGAGAATGGCTGAAGCCTCATCTCCGTGCCTTGACTTTTCTCTGTCAGCTGCTCTTTGCGGGTCCCTGTTCTGTCTCTCTGTCTCACAGCTCCAAGCAGCTTTACTATGTCATTCCTGTGTGTTTCTCACTCAGGGATTTGCCACCACTAACCTTCATCCTTTTCCCCCTCAGCACTGGCCACACAGAACATACACATGGCAGTCTAATGAATTTTGGCTATGAACACTCCCGCTGGAACATCGCTTCCTTGGACCCTGGGGTAGCTCCACTCCTGGCTAACAGGGTTTTGGACACACCAGGGTGGCTTTCAGATGCTCCTGATGACCCAAAGGTTTAGAAAAATCAGTATAGTCTAGCCAATGTTATAAAGAGTATGGGGAACCAACACAGTACGGAACATTTTGGGCTGTAGAGATCCTGCCTGCAGTTGTGCGCACAAAGGTTTTCCAGTTCCTGTGGCAGGGAAATAACCATATTTTTTGGTCTGGTGTTCTTAACAATAATAGTGAAATACTTGAGAAGAGCCTGATTCTGACGCCTGAGGTACTGCTACTGATCCTGCCTGATCCTGTTCATCCTAGTGGGGACAGAGTTTTTGTCAATGGTGAAAGGATCCTGGACAAAGAACGATGGAGCTGGAAGTGGGAGTTATTATTTCATACTGGCATTCCATTCAGTGGAGGATCTAACTGAGGGGCTGTGTCAGGGGGTGTTTGCATGACACATGGAAATATTTTAAGTGCAGGCACAGCCTGTGGGCTCTGCTACTGCCCAAGAGCAGCTCAGATCCCACCCTGAACCTCCACAGCTCAGCTCCCCAAAGCTGCCACAAATCTCATGGCTGGCACAAGCCAGACTGCTGAACTTCCCTCCTGCTGCCTCTTTGATGTGGGCAGCTGTGGAAAGACCTTGGGCTTTTGACTGCAGCATGGAGAACACTTTGAGTTCTGCTCTCATTTCAGCAGGTGCAGGTTTGAAGTCCTAGGAAAAGAAATGGACGCTTGGTTTCCTGGTCACCTCTCCCTCAGCTTTGTTCTGCCTGTTGCCAGAAACAGCACAAACACTAGTGAAGGGAAAGAGCTTAAAACAGGGCTCCCTTTCTAACTAAAAAGCCTTTGATGGAACAACATAAGTGCAAATCTCAGCTGTGCTGGTCCCAAGACATCACAAACCATCAGCATAGCAAGTAGCATTTTTGAATGCATCAAAATCTTGTCTTTTAGCATTTAATGCGAGACATTACAAACTAATGAAGAGGAGAAATGTATGCAGTGTTGCTGTAAACCAAATATACAGATGTAAAATAATTAAGAATAAACTGTTCCATAAAAATGCATGTCAATAAACCCCCGTCTGATAAAGTGATTTATGAAGAATTTTCTAGAATTGCTAAAAAGAATGATTTCTCTTTTGAGGCTCTGGAAGTCTTGAGTCACATTTTGTTTCTTTTAAAAAAATGTCTTAAAACACATGGCTTTACAGCTGCTGCTTGGAAAATATACACCTCCAAAGTCTGACTTTCATTTAAATACAAATGTACAAAATGTAAACTGAGACAATAGAGAAATTTACAAAACTTTTCTTTAAAAATAATAAAGACAAAATTCAGTTCTAGTATGATGCTATTTAAATACGTGCAAGTAGTCATGTTCATTGAATTTCTATTGCAATGTTCTAAAGAGACAAATTTGATTCACACAGTCTTGAGTGCCACCTCCAAAAACAGACCTGAGTGGAAATTTCTTCTTAAAATGTGAGGCTCCACTGGAAGGAATGGATAGAAAATCTCCATTTTGGGAGATCCAGACTTTCTTTTTTTCACTCAACGGTGGAGGCTCTCTCATCCACAGAAGCTCCAGAGATTATAGTGGAAGGATGCAACATGTTGTTTCATAGGACTGAGTTGGAACTAGCTGCTTCCAGTGGAGTTTGAACTTACGTGATTCGAATTTATGTGATGATTTAAACTGGCCTTTGAATTTGGAGAACTCTTTGAATTGTTCTGATGCTGTAAGGAAGAAGAAGAAAATGACAATTAGATTTCCATAATATGCCATGGTTTTATTTTTCATCCAACATCGTTCATTTTATGGTACTGACTGGACTGCAAGATTCTTGCTTGAGGATCTTCAGATGCAAAATATTCTTCATTTTCCTACCTGTAGTCTCTCTAGGTCAGCAGAACCATGGCAGTTCTTGATGAATGCAGCAAAGAAGACTCACTCCAGCTCCAGGAGCCAAATCAATTCACTGCAAAATATCAGTATCTGCTAAATCTGACTAATACAGAGGGTACCTCCAATGCTCAGGCATGGCTTTAACCCTACAGAAATAGGCCAGTCTAAGAATGTTATTGACATTTGCAAGTGGTGCCATGGTGTCTCATGAAGACCCCACGTCATGTTTTATCCAGGTTGCTCTCTTTATTATCTTGCTTTCCTGCCACAGCTACCTCCCTCAAAATGTGCATTTTCCTTTTTATTTTTTAAACACATAAATCAAGGATTTTCACAAGGAACTTCTTCAAACAGTTTCAAAAGGCATTTCAGCATACCACTGAAAACCAGGTTGGGTGAGAAGTTTTCAACTGCTGGAAACAAAACTCATGAGCAACACTGGAACTGCTGGTGGCAAAAACAAAAAATAAAAATCACACAAGGTAGATGAAAAACTTGGGATATGGAGGAAAATGTGAGAGCCAGTCCTCTCTAAGATGCTCTGCCCTTCTCCTAGCACAGATATCACCAGAACAGGGCTGTGAAAACAAGTATCTACAGGAGTTTCCTGGTCTTATTCATAAAAGATCTCACCTGTCGCTTAAATATTCTCTGTAGCAATCCTTTCTTGGGTGGCTCTGGGGGGTAGCTTTTGTTTAGGTCTGGTGAAATAGTACCATTTGGTCCGAATACATTCAGCTCCTTGAAGCACTCTGTTTCTATCATCTAGTGGAATATGGTGAGAGAGACAAAAAAAAAAAAAAAAAAAAAAAGGGAATTATTCATCTGCACTAAATAAATTCCAGTAGTGCTAGGTTCTTCAAAGTCAGCAGTGTGTGAGGAGAGTTAACAGTTGGATTCCTGCTGGTGTCTGTAGAGGGCAAATAGAGTGTATGAAAACCAGAGGCTGTGTGTTTGCACATCAGACTTGTCAGAAGCTGCCCCACAAGACTTTCTGTTCTTTCCTTCAGCACTGTAGACAATAGCAGGCAAAAACAGGCACACTTACAAAATCCCAGTTATTAGCAGCCCCCTGCCCAAGTGGATCTGCTGTTTGATGCAGAGCTGGATTCTGAAATCCACTGTTGGCTGTGTTTTGATACCAAACAGAGACAAAGACCCAGACATGGAAATGCTGGAGGAGCTCAGGGTCCAGAGTTAACTGCAGACAGTGGGTGAGAGCAGGGTCACCAGGGCAGGATCCTTCCCTTAAGGATTTCCAACTGAGCCACAGAAGGTGCTGAGAGCTGTCGAAACACCTCTGTAGAAATCCAGGAGGAGGAAGTACAGTAGGATCCTTGCCAATTTACACAAATACACAGAGCCAACAGATACAGTCACCTGAACCTGACATCTGTGGTACATTACAGATCTTGAAAGAGGCCATTTGTAACTCATGAAAGCATTAGAGTCTGGCAAGTTGTCCAGTAGCTATATATTACTGGAACATAGAGCTCCTCTTAAACCGTCTCTGTTATGGGGTTTATTGCAGTAATTTTGCTGTGATACATCCTTACCTCATTTTGCCATGGAATAGACACTGATCCTGTGGAAAACTTGGAATAGAAATCGTCATCTGTTTGGTCCAGGTTAACTCCTTTCACTGTGGAGAACTGCTCAATGTCTAACACATCCTTGCAGTACACTGCTCTGGGCTATGTCAGCAGAAAAAAAAAGGAGAAATGACATGAGAAAAATATTTCTGAGTCGGACCATGTGCTTTCATTCACAGATTCAGTCAAGTGAGAATGTCTAACAAGTGTGTGTCTGCATCCTCCTTCTCCAGCTTGCTCTGCCTGCATGTTTATCATCAAAGGCTGACTTCACTTTAAGCACATTAAGCTTCCTATTCTGAAGTCCTCAAAGCATCAGTCAAAGTGGGTTTTAGTCATCCATGTACCATCTGGTTAAGAGGTGAGAGGAAGAGGACAGAAAGAGCCAGAAGAGAAAAATTGAGCCCTTCAGTAGTCTTTTCATTTAGAGAGGGAACAACAGAAAACCAGAATGTTTACGAGTGGCACACTGGAGAGAGCCCTGAAAGGAGGCCTCAGATAGAAGTGCCCTCCTGCCCAGATAGCTGTGGAGTTTGCAGCTTGGAAGTTTAAAGGAATGTATCCTAATTGCTAAAGAAAACAGGGGAGGTTTGGCATTTTTCCATTGTTTTTATTAATAGCTCAGCTGCTGGAGGCTGCCCAGAATTACCTCTATTAACTCTTTTAACATGGCTGCACTTCTTCAAAGGAACAGTCAAATGGCTTTGCCTTTTTGAACTACCCAGTTTTCTGGGCTGACAGAGAGAAAACTCTTTGCAGTGAGGGATCCTTCAGCTCGTGCCCCAGCAGTCAGCCCCAGGGAGCAGAAAGAGCCATCAGTGGTTACCTATCACAGGCAGTGTGTGTGCCCAGAGATCTCCCACCACCAGCACAGCCACCCTCTGCTGTGCAGGGATAATTGAGGGCTGGTTTGTGGGACCAGCCTGAACCCCAGCCCATGTGGAGTCCTTCTGTCTGTCCCTGGTACCAGGACTGCACAGCCAGGGGTCCAACAGTGCAGCACTTTATTTATCTGGTTCTCAGCACTGTGACCAAACAAATTGACCTAATTCCTGACAGAAGTCTTATTTGCTGAAGGCTGTATCCCTCTGCATTCCTGACAGCTGCAATCCGCAACATTTTTGTAGGAGAGGATGGAGAGGCATGGTTTGGATAACAACTTCTGCCACTGGCTATATAGTTTTGGGTGATTCAGCTGACTTCAGTAAAGACCGGGAGATCTATGGATGAAGTGCCAAATAAATTAAATTAGGGGCAGCTCTCGAGCTCCCAATAAAGGGCCATAAAAAATTATGTGCCTTTGCTTTTGCAAATATGTCTGTAAGAGGTGCCTTCTAGGCCTTACGTGCCACAGTTTTTATGCACTCTGGCGGATCCCAATGTGAGCCCAGAATTTTATAATTTTCTACATCAGAAAGAAATAGTAGCTTGTCTCTTATTTCTTCCCACTAAAGCAGGTCGTAACACCATGGGCTAATTGGCAGGAATAACTAGGCTGCATAGTAAAATGTAAAGCAAAACCAGAGCAACTAAAGTAAACTTTTGTAGTGTTCAAACCACTTTGGTTTGGTTGAGCCTGCAGCAACGGGAATGGGAGCTGCCAAGATGTTACTTTCTTTAATATGTTAAAATGGCAGTGTTTACTTAGAACCATATGGGGACTTTAAGGATAGAAGCTCCAGCCAGAAAGAGAGCCCTGCAGGAGGGAAATAATCAGATAACTCTGTGCACTGGGCTAGAAACCGATACCACAAAAGGCTGGAAAAAGTTTTGTTGTTGCCAGTGCAACAAAGCCTTTCAGTATGTGTGAGCCTGGTGTGTAAATCTGAGTAAGGACTCACTGCTGGGTTCTGTGCCCCAAAAAGCTCCAAATGCTCTCCAAGGTCCAAGTCACCTTCTCTGCTTGAGGTGCCACTTGATAGCTGAGCCTGGCTCAGACTCTCACAGCAAACTACTGTTTTCATGACGATCCAGTTCCACAGGGCCCTGGACTTTGTATTTCTGGTTTTACCTCTATAAACATGCATGCACACATTTGTTTTTCACTGCTGATTGTCCCAAGCACCACCTGGTCCTGAGCACACTTATTTTCATAGTAATGCCATGGATAAGGGTTCCCAGTGTGTCCAGGAACGCTGTGGTAAAAGGAGTGGGAACGGATCAAGCCCCAGATTACCAGCCCGCCTCCACATGCCCACAGAGCCCTCTCTCCTCTTCCTCCCAGCCTCCCCACTCCAGCCCCACCACTTATCACACCTTCCTGGGGTAGCTCCCCGTGCAGAGAGCGATGACAGCCCTGAGAGAGAGAAGCTATTTTAGAAACAAACCTCTTAAAAGAGGCCACTGGGGGTTCTTGCAATCGTACTTACATCAGGCACAAAGGGAGGTTCCAGCATTCCTGCTTCTAACCGCTTGAAATTCATGCTCTTGAAAAAGGGGTGTCTCTTCACTTCTGCTGCCCCTTCCCCTTGACATCCCAGCCGCTGCTTCACGTCCTTGGCCAGGAGCTGAAACATGCCAACAGGAATGGTGAGGGTGTCAGGAAGAGCAAGAGCTCCACAAAGATATTTTTATCTCCACTTGTTTTTGAATGTGCCCATAGGGAAGTACAGAGGGGAGCTGCAACAGCTGTTCCTTAAAAGCTGAAGTTAAATGGATTAGGGCTGCACTGTTCTACATGCTGGTGAAATCCTCAGAAAATCACCTGCTGTAAAGTATTTACAGTCAAAATAGAGACCATTCCTTTCACCTGCTTTCAGTGAACAATTTCAAGAGGAAATCTGACATATCCTAGTAACATTTGAAGATTCACATTCATAAGCTCCATGTGCTTTGTCTCAGTTATTTTGGTTTTGTTTTTTATGTTTGTAAGAATAATTTCCCCTCAGAAGAACAGGTGCATAGGAAAAACCAAAAATACCAAATTGCATTTGCACTACCTTCCAGTGCAATGACACATTGAACATTCATGGGCTTTACAGTCATGGCCTTATCTCTGCTGAACTCAAGGTGGTTCCATCCACGGAGCCAGTGCCCAGTAATTATCCTCAATTCTGCCTTGTTTGTTTTCAGAGAAGGGCAGTGCACAGCCTCCACCTGCTACAGCAAGTCCTGCCTGTTTCCTGGGTACCCACAATGGAGCAATGCCCACCAAGAGAACTCAGCATCTCTGGTCTGTCAGACAAGCAAGGCCACGGACAGAAACACCGTGCTATTTACAGGAGAGACTCAACAGGGGAGGCTCAACAGCACCTTCCAGTGCAAGAGAGCTGGAGAGGGACCTTGGGTAAGGGCATCTCACAAATAGACAAGGGGGAATGGCTTTAAACTGAAGGAGGGCAGGTTTAGACAGGATATTAGGAAGAAATTCTTCCCTGAGGGTGATGAAGTCCTGGCACAGGGTGCCCAGAGCAGCTGTGGCTGCCCCTGGATCCCTGCAGGTGCCCAACTCCAGGATGAACAGGGCTTGGAGCACCCTGGGACAGCGGAAGGTGTCCCTGCCATGGCAGAGGGCTAGACTGGACGGTGTTAAGGATCCCTCCAAGACAAACCCTCCTGCGCTTCCCTCGGTGACCGTGAGCCGCTCGGGCGGTGCCGCCGGGAGGCAGCAGAGGAAAGGGCAGCGGCGGGGAAGGGGCTGCTCCGGGGATACCTTCCGTGGCTCCCGCCGCTCCTCCGCCGCTGGCCCCGGCTTTGCTGGCCTGCAGTCGGGCCAGGAGCAGCGCTCAGCCCTGCCCGGGTGGGCTGTGCCCGGTGATGGCACCGAAAGCATCAGCAAAGCCCAGCGGGGCTCGGCGGCAGGCGGGGCAGGGGATGGTTGGGCTCTCTGAACCGGGCAGGCACCGGGAGCACCCCTGGGAGATCCCCGGGACCGTTCCAGCTGCGGGTGGTAGGATGCAAACACCTCTGGGAAGGCTGGGGAGGAGCCCCGTGCTCCCGGGTGCATCCCTGCGGGAGCACGACCGGGAACCAGGGATGCTCCCGGGGAGCCTGGGGATGCTGCTTGTGCCCAGCTCAGGGCTCGTGTGCCAGCTCAGGGCTTGTGTGCCAGCTCAGGACTCGTGTGCCATCTCAGGGCTTGTGTGCCCCAGCACCTTCTGCCTCAGCCACCGAGGCAGCAGCCCAGCTCAGCTACCTCATCTCACCAGCGGGGAACTTGGAAATTGTTTGTTGCTAATGTCATGTTGTGCTCTTTACTCTGGTGCCTGGCTGGGGCTGGGGTTTCTTGTCCTTATCAGGGGTTTACAGTGTCACAGCTCTTCAGCCTTCTCTGAATGCTCTGCTACCACTGGGCATTTCCACCATCTGGGCATTGGTGGTTTTCTGATCTGACTGCCAACAGCCACCTCAGTTGTGCTCCTGTGTTGCTGGGGGCCTCATTTCCAGGCTGAGATGGCAAATGGCTTTGGCAATCCGTGTGTCCCATGGTGCAGAGGCACCCTCCAGCCTGGCCTCAGAAAGCTCCAGTGGCAGCAGCCAAGCCAGAAATGGTGGTGAAGGGGTTTGTAGACATAAGAGTTTTCTGCTCAGGTCTTTCTGCCTCAGCAGCAGCAATAGCAGGAGACTGAATGATTGGAGGAAAGGGTTTAAAGCCACTGGTGCTGGCCACAGTAGCAGTGTTCAGCTTCCAAATAGCAGCAGCCCTTTCTTCCCCACACTTTCCTCTAGCTCTGATGCTGCCAAGCTGGTGACATCTGGGCTGACAGATCACAAGTGGCTGATCCATAAATGTAAAAAGACTTGAGGAAACATCTGTATGCCTTGCCATTCTCTGAGCAGAGAGATTCACATGATACTGTACCACATCCATCTGACTCACTGCAAAAGACCTGTCTCAGAGCACTTCTCTAGACTTTGCTTTCCCTGCTAGAAGCAAAGAGGGATCCTTTGCTTTCAAACAGCTGTTAGACTTTGAATTCTCATGGTCCTGAGACTAGGATTTTTTTGGTGTGTTTTAGGTTTTGAGGTGTGTGTTTGGTGTTTTAGGTTTTGAGGTGTTTTTGGTTTTTTGTTTCTGTTTTTTTTTTTTTTTTTAATCCTATCCTCTAGCCTGTTTGAAGAGAATTTTAATCCTATGCTCTAGCCTGTTTGCTTTGGAATTTCCAGTCAGAATCAGGCTTGCTCAATTCTGGTTGGGCAAAGAAATCAAAAGTTCTTTTAATCTTTTATTCTCATGTCAACAGGACTTTCCTGACAGTTGGAAAGAAGAATCTGAAAGCAGAAAGACCATTTTTAGTACCCATGGCTCTGGTATACTTTTGGAAATGATACCTCGGACTTGCTGAGGAGAAGGTGGTGGTAGGAGGGGATAGATCTGGACTTTCCTGGAGATGATACAGGAGACCTCTGCAGTCTCTGCTCTCAAGCCAGCTCTGAAGGGATGAAAAGGGGGTTATTTCCCATCTCTGCAGTCTGGATTCTGGGCTTAGTGGGGAGACCAAGCTGATCTGTGAATTTGCCCTTGTCAGGCTGTAAGATGTTTGGAGTGTGCGGTCAGAGAAAAGGGTAGCTGAGGACAGAAAAAGGCTGCCTGGGGATTCCTGGGTTCCTCCATGACAAACAAGGGAGTATTCAGTAACTTCAGATGCAAGAAGGAAGTTTCTGGAGCATGAATGCAGTTGGTTGTGGGTGGCTGGCCACTGCTGGCTGAAAGACACAAAAGGGAACAGGCCACTGGGAATAGGCTGGGACTGCAAGAACAGGGAAAGGAGAGGATTCTCCTGCAAAACCCTGCTGCAGAGGAGCAGCTGCAGTCTCTTGAGAGTCCCAGGAGAGTCACAATGGTGAAAAAAAGCTAGAAATAAATAGAATTTGAAAAGCTGTAGATGCAGCCAGCTCTAGAGATGGTAACAGGTGAAACCAGACATTCTTCCTGGCTTCTGTTGTGGATATCAAGACATAGCACGGACTAGAATATTTTACATAAGGGAGAATCCTTCCTTTCACCAAGGAATAATTAGTCTTTCACCATTTCCTGCAGCCCCAGAAGCTTTCTGCAATAGCAAACCCATACAAGAGCCTGAAATATGCATCCCATTTGGGAATCTGACATGGAAAAGAAAATGGAGATAACAACAGTATGTTATAAGTCATCTCTACACTTTTGTTTAACTTTGCTTCAAAGGGTTTATTTAATATGAATAGAGAGCAGAACAAAAGCAACTCCATCAGGCTGATGACAAGCCCTCCTGGGACAGCAGTGCAAGGGACCCCATCAAACACAATTTAAATGTAATTCTGCAGTAGAGCCTGCAGATAATTCACAGTTTCAAATCTGGAAATGGCCTGGGCCACCCAACCATGCATGAAGCTAATGCCAAACAGCAGAGCTGTGTGTTCTGGTGAAAAAGGCTTCAGTTGGCATGGGACATTTAGGGTTTAGTCTACAGGGTTCATGGGCAGACCATGACTAGAACAGGACTTTCAAAGAGAGTCTTGATTAGCAGCAGTAAAGTTCCATCAAGATCTTGATACAAAGAGCTCTCTGATACTTTCATGTCACTCATTGGATCCCCACTGGGGATTCAAACTCTGCAATGTCTGAGACTTTTTTCCATGACTTTGTTTTGCTTCCTTTACAAAAAGAAACAACTGTTGTGAGGATTGCTAAAAAAAGCCAAAAGTCCCCAAAGCACTGTTTTATCTTCATGTGATCAGTCAGTTCATCTCCAGATCATACCATGTAATAAATAATTCCAAGTTCTAAGATGTTAGTCCTAAAATTATAGGAGTAAGGAAAACAAAAAATTGCCACTCATGAAAGGAGACAAGGGGAATGCTAAAACCATTTTCATTGACCCAGCTGATCAAGCAATTTAAAGAATCACCTAGCAAAAGTTCAGCCCTGCCACTGAAGTAAACATATTATTTTAAGCAGTTTTTAGAGAACAGAACAGCAATACTATGGTCAGTTACTAAATGAGAGCAGAGAGATGAAAGAGCAGTTCTCTTTGGGCACTGATAAACTTTAAGGTGTCATAATGCTGATTTCCATGGGATGAAAGCAGAAAGGAGGGATGGCAGCAGGCGGGAGTAGCTGTATGATGACAGAGCTCCAGACGGTAAGTGAGGAACAGGAAAAAATTGCTTTTAAGGAAAACAGAACCCCTTGTCTTTTAGTTGGTTGGGGTGACACTTTGAAAAGGGAATGGAGATCAGAAATATGGAACAGCTGAGGCTGGAAGCCACATCAAGACATGGTCTAGTCCAATCCCTCTGCTCAAAGCAGATTTTCCTAGAGCAGATTGTTCCAGACCTTGTTGGGTTGGGCTTTGGGTATCCCCAAGTGTGGAGACCACATAGCCCCTCTGGGCAACCTGTTCCACTGTTTGGATACCCTCACCATGGAAAAATGTTTTCTAATGTTCAGAGGGAACAGAACAGCTCCTGTGCTTCCGTGTGTTTCCCTTGTTTCCTGTCCTGGTACAGGACACCAAACCAAGAGTTTGGCTCTGTCTCCTTTACACCATCCCATCAGAGACCCCTCGTGCAGGGTAAAATGGGAGCTGCAGGGATAAAAGGCATCCGGGAAGACAAGTCTGTGGGAAATGCAGACAAGCAGGGCACTGACAGAGTGACAGGAGCACAGCAATGACGGGCCATCCAACACTGCTGACTTGAATGCACTTCAAGTCACATCTCTGGATGCATGACTGCACTTGTCAGGGAAAACATGCATGTACATCAGTGGAGCACGAGGCATAACCACAACAAACACAGAGCATTTCCTAGAAATACTGGATTTTTTTCACAGAAAAAACACACCAGGAGCAGCTATGTTATATGGGAACTATGGGTTGGGGAGCTTCCCAGAAAGCCAGCTGCCCCTGTTCCTAATTATTTGTTATTCATCTCTGTTTCAGTCCAAAATGAGGTCTGATTTATGGGAAATTACTTACAAAATGAAACATGGAAATAGGGGATGGATGATGATTAATGGGAGCTGTGATATGTGCCTGCGAAAATGCAAAAGGGCACAAACATCCAGGAGGGGAAGGCTGACGTGGGGTGACACCAGAGGGTTTTCCTATGAGTAAATGAACAAAGACAATGTATTTCCTGGTGGTGATGCTATTAGCTCATGAAGCAAGCTCTGAAGAGAAGGCTGGGCAACATGGTGGGAAACATTTCCCCACTCCTGTCCTGAAGAGTCCACTACGGAAAAGCCTTTTGTGTGGGATCTTTGAGAAGGCTCAAGTTTCATTTATGTATTGCAACTTTTTGCTTCTTTTTGCAGATATGATGGGTTCTTTATGACTCTTTTGTTTCCTTGTTAAGAGGCTGATGCAAAGCAACAAAGGCTTTCAATATAAAACGCAAAAAGAAATCGAGAAAATACATTTGAATAACGGATTTAAAAATAAAAAACATCACTTGGTAAAATAAATTACTTTTCAATGGGAAACCACAAAGGCCATCACACTCAGTATCAGGACTCAGACTGTTCCTGCCTCAAGATACTAATGCTCAGAAAAGGAAAGGTTATCTTTGGATCCATTAATAGTTTTCACAAACCACCTCAATAAACATGCCACATGATTGGACAGGGAAGAAATAGTGGTCAAGTTTTCAGGAATAATTTATATATAGTCCAAGCTTCCCTGAGGCAAGAGAAAGAACTAGATGATCTCCTGAGGTCCCAACTCCCTGAAACCAGTCTCCATGGCTGGAAGATGAAAATGACCACTGCAGTGTCATGACTGTCTGCTGCCCTGGGAGTGTGGTAGGTCATCTACAGCACTATCCCATCAATGCTACATTTAATTCTGCTCAGCTTTAAGTTCTCGTGGTTATTTTCAAAGTATTTGTTCATTCTGTAATGCAAGGGAAATAAAGAGTAACAAGAAGGGCTTCTACAGGTATGTCAGCCAGGAAAGGGGGGTTGGACCACGTGATCTTTAAAGGTCCCTTTCAACCCAAACTATTCTGATTCTGTGCTCAAGCAGGTAAAATTTTTGCCTCACATCTCCATTTCAGATTAACAGCAGGACGCACACAAATTCCCTGCCACTCCAGCAGATGCTGCTCCTCACCTGGTGGGAGCTGAGATGCTGCCTGAGGAGAGAGGGCAGCCAGCTGGGGCACATGGGATGGTCTGTGAGAGCCCATGGCTGCCCCAGGTCCTCCCATGTCAGCTGCACTGGGGGCTCTGCATCACCAGCTAAGGGCAGAGAACAGGCCAGAGCATCTCTCAAGAGTGATGTCAGTTAAATACCACCCCGAGGATTCGGGAATGACTCGGTGCACTGGGACTTAATGACTTCCAGGCATGACTCTTGGCAGTGATACCATTATTATTTTGCAAGGAGACTTCAGTGTCTCTTCATGCAGCCAGCCAACCAGAGTGTTGTGGATCTGCTCTTTGCTTGCCTGTTGCACAAGACATTGGTGAGACCCTCCCTACCTATTTGTTGACCTTTCCTCCCCTTCTTTCTCCCTTCACCAGCAAACACAGATAGGCCATTGTCTCCAAAGGAGACTTCACTCGTTCTCAAACAACACCCAGAAAAGGCCACATCCTTTTCCAAATTACAATTCAGCCTTCTAAAGATGGATGTCAACAAGACATTGATGAATTCAGACGCAGCTTTGAGATTTCTCAGAGGGATTGAGGATTTCCATTGTCAGACATGGCTATTGTGCTACGAAAATGACTCCCAGCTGAAGGAGTGAGAAAACATTTTGAAGAACAGCTCAACAGTATTAAGAAAAGCTGGATACTCTGATACCCTGGGGGAAAAGCTGCTAACAAAGTTAGTGAGATGGGCCGAGACAACATTTGAGTGTCACAATAATTTCATTGCATAATCTTTGTCCTGCTTACCCCCAGCTCTCACCAAAGACAATGGAAGCGTGGGGTTTGCAGTTCCGTGCAGGAGACAATCAGATTCTTGCATCATCGAGTCCTTTTTATTTTTTTCTACAAGGTTATAAAAGACAGAAATGCATTCTTGACTGCAAACTAACATTCAAAGTCTCATGAGAATAGATACCGCTCCCTAGGCCATAAAACTTTGGAGAGAGCTCGGGATGACCGTGATGAATCTCATGGAGAAACAAGCCCAAATAAACAGTTTGAATGAATAGAGAGGGCAGTCACCCCATCCACAGATGAGCTTGGTTAATCCTTGTTTCTGCAGCCCCTCCATGGCACCCTGTTACTGCTCAGACCATGTCAGTCACACTTGTTAGTGAAGCTGCCCCACTGAGCCTTCCAGCCCCTTACCATTTTACAGATGGACTTGGCCTCCTCAGAGAACTTATGGGAGTACACCTCCTCTGTCTCCAGCACTCTTCTGTCCACTTCTTCCCTCTTCACCTTCTCTTTCCTTCCGCGGAATGGCGATTGCCCAGCAATCATTTCATAAATGAGACAGCCTAACCCCCAGTAGTCAGGGCTGAGTGTGTATCTCTGGTTGTTCAGCACCTCTGGAGCTGTGGAGGAGAGTGAGATGCCTTGTGGAAATGCTTGGTATTTACACAGGCAGAGCACTTAAATGCCTCGAAGTATCATTTTGGTGACTGAATACACATGCAGAGAATGTTTGGTGAAATACAGAAATACCTCCTGATTGCAGTTGAGGGCATTACAGGAAATGCAGCATGCTACATGCCATGGTGTTCTCTCTACATGCTACATGCCTTGTCCATGCTGTCTTCTGACTTCTCTACCAACTCAGTCCAATTTAAAAAAAAAAAATCATGAAAGAAGTTGGGTCTAAATATTAAGCAGAGACCTAATTTTAAGAGTTCTTCCAGATTTCTCCACTTAGGGAAAAAGGAAGTGCAAACACGCATCCTGTAAACAGCCGTGACATTTCTTCAAAAGCAAATTCTGTCTCTTTGGTCAATTCATAGCTTTTCTTTTTCCCCTTTAAAGAAACTCCAATCCATTAATTTTGTGTTGCAACAACAGACAATGCTTCTGGGCAGAGAGTCTTGCAGGCACCCTCACCTCCATGCAGGGGTACAAACACACATCTCCACGTGCTCACAAGCACAGAGCCTTAGTGTGCACACAAACTTACACTGAGATAACAAAATTTAGACATGACAACTGATTTGCTTGCTTTCATTAAAGTCTCCATATGGTGTAACAGTGGCTCACATCAGCTAGTTTCTATTCAGTCAAATAAGCATAAGCAATTTTTACTCCAAGAAATATGCCCACCCAGAGAATGCATGAAAATAATTACATTGAGTTTAGAAAACAGATCTACTTAAATAAGGGAATGTAGTTTTTGGGGTTTTTTTTACCAATGTACAAATCTCTACTTGTCTTTTGTGCAGATCCTCCCCTGCACATAGAGGAAAGCTCAAGGTGACCCTGGTCAAGATGACCACAGGTGTGGACTTACCCATTTTATCATAACCATGCAAATACATTGTAACTCCTATACAAAACAGCAACTAGAAAGAAACCTTTATTTTGGCACATAACCCTCCTAAGATAAATCTACAATAAAATCACTGGAATCCCAGTTGCTGTCTACCCTTTCAATTTGTTTTGCTGATGTAAGGTTATAGACCAGCCTCACTGAGAGCTGTAGAGGTCCAGCCTTTCACCCTCTTCTGAATTTCACTACCAGGATTTTTGTAGGAGTTGCTGCATGACACTGGACCCAGCTGAATGTGAATATTTTTTATTCTTTTTCTTAAGCTTTCTTGGAAGAAATATCTCTAAAACTCAAGTAACCTTGGTAAATTTTTAAAAAGATGAGCTGTGGAAGACTTACCCATATACCCTACTGTTCCTACTCTTCCACGGATTGATTCACCCTCAGGGATTTTAACAGCTAGACCCAAATCAGATATTCTAATATGGCCTAGAAGGAAAGAAGAAACAAAACAACACAAAGCAGATATAATAACCTGACCCAAATTAGTCCAAAACCCACAACTGTGGTCATTGCTAAACTACTCCTGCAATTTACTGCATTTTAAGAAAAGAGTGTTCTGAATCACTGAATTGGAGCAGTTTCATTGATATGGAAAAGAGGAATTATTAAGGGCGCTACAACGCAGTGAAATAAATGCTAACAGTAAGGCTGTGGACTGCAGATTGTATTAGGTATTTTAAAACCAATGAAAAAAGGCAGAGAGAAGCATGCTGCGGGGAAGTATCTTGAACTGATCACAGAGGATGGATGGGCTGACACAATTCTGTAACTCTGTGATGGCTGAAGAGGCTACATCTGGTCTGCAAGTCAGCAGGAGATTTGATTATCGCTGCCTTCACCACGAACCTGGGTTTGCATAAAACCAGACTTGCCTCAGCAGAGCATGAAAGTGCTTTCAAAAATGGAGAGGGGAAGCACTGGTTTAGAAATTAGAACTCCCTTTGTGTTGCACCAGCCTTGCAACAAGGATGGAAAAACAACAAGGAAAGGCAGAGAGCCCCAGCAACGCCGAGCTCTCGAGAACAGCCCCTGCTGAGGGCACGGCTGCTTCCTTCCATCTGTGCAGCGAGCTCCAGCAGCTCAGCCACCCCTAGACAGGAATATTAGTGTATGCTGAGCCTCTTAAACACTTCAGAGCATTATTTGTCTTTGTGCAATATATATCCTGAAACTAACTTAATCTACTTTACTGTGAAAGCATCTCTGTAAACCTCCGAGACTTACCATAATCATCCAGCAGGATATTTTCTGGCTTCAGATCTCTGGAAATGAAAGATAGCAGTTATGGGTATGAACCTGGTTTTGATAGTGTAACCATACAACTGTGTGAGGGCATTTATTACTTGTAATAAACCAATTGAGTGTCAACTCAAACAGCAAGGAGCTCCTGAAACCAATACAACCTTTTACAACTCACTTCACAGATAGACTGAAACCATATGTCTTTTTCTAAACTGGAGTTACAATTTTTCACTAAGCCAAGCTTTTAGTTCCTAATCTACCCTGTAATGGACTCATCCATCTAGTCCTGTAAGCCCTGTAAACCAACCCCTATAGTCCTGTGTGCTGTAAAATCTCTCTAACATTTTCTGTTATAAAATCTTATGTTAAAAATAATAGGTTTTAGAATACTTTATTTACATGTGAAAATAGAAATAGCAATCTGCTGGGCTCAAATGTTCTATGTCTGGCATCTGAGTCAGACCAAATATGTGAATGTGTGTCCATGCACTTGCACACATGTGCAGTATTTTTGAGTTTGGAAAATGCAGGGCAGAGGTAAGAATGCTGTGTCCAGATTAAGATTATTCTTACAAGCATTTGTGAAACTCTAGTGCCTGTGTGGTTTGGAGCAATGCCATGAAAATGCTTTGGGCAAGGTGGTCAATCTCATGTCAAAGGTGTGCCTTTTACTGTTCCTGAAAAAAAACCCCAAAAAATCCCCAGATCTGGGCAAGGTATAAACTTCTGAAGTGAACAATCTGTTTTCATATATTTAGCAGAGCCTTGGCAGATCATTCTTCTGAAAGGTTTGTCTGCACAAAACCTTCTCCACCAGCTGCTGCTTTGAGCTGCTTCCCAGCCCAGCCACGCTGTCCCCTCCTTGACCAAGGCTGTTTTCCAAGCCTTTCCAACTTCCAGAGTTGTGCCTTTCCATCACAACTCTGCAGCTGCTGCCATTCTTGGGCTGCTGTTGAGGTGGGAGCCGGGCAGGCTCCTTCCCATCCTGCTCAAGCAGAGGGGGAATGAAGCCAGCCCAAGAGGTGTCAGAGGGGGAGATGGACATGCTGGGCAGGGAGTGTCCCAGAAGTGCCCCAGGACTGGGCTGTGCTGGCCTCAGCCTGAATGAGGCACCAGCAGCTGGGTGAGGCAGGGAAAACAGCATTGCTTCAATTCACCACATCATGCCCTGGCTTTTATCTAAACACAGTGCTCAGCCTGGTGCAAATCCAAGCCCTGCTTGGCCTCTTCTTTTTGTAAGGCCTCCTTGCATCTGCGAACCAGCTTGGTTCTGGTAACTTCCCAGCAAGAGGCATTTTGTGCAAAGAGCAAAGAGAGGGCGTGTACAAGAGAAAGCCTTGCACCAGGGCACGGGGCAGAGCACAGAGCCTGCCCCACCTCTCAAGCTGCACCACTCCAGCATCATCAATTTTCCTGTATATGAAGAGAGGTATTTTATAGTTTTGACAATGCCAAAGTTGGAATTTTGAAACTTGCCTTGTTTTTATTTATGATTTCAAGCAAGAACACAGAGCTCTGTGAGTAATCTCCTCTTCTTGCTTGCTTCAGACCTTCCTGACCTCCAAGATAAACCTCACCCCATGCCCAGTGGTACCAAGCCTGCTTTTCAAACAAACAATGCTGAAATATGTGAAGGGCAGCTGAATACTGAGGAGAAGCTGTGATTTTGTTTAACACACCACTGTGGGCTTTCCCTGCCAATCAGCAGAAGGTTTCCAGTGCTGGAGCAGCACGGTCAAGGGCATCGGCTATTTATTTTTGAAAAGAGGTTCTGAATCCTGTAAGAATCATTCCCTTGAAGAACTCAGCCTTCATCAGTTATTTCATCTTCTGCTCAGCAGTTATTAACCCCACTTAAAACTGTAACCGGGGGCCAGTGATAAGAATCTTATGTGCAACTTGGGAAGTTGTTATCTTTGAATGAGAAAATGGGAGACTTCACAAGGACTCTGAGAACACCAGTTCAGTTCTTAGGGTCCTCTGCGATTCAGGGCAATTAGAGGAAGTTTTCCTCCCCCTCCCAGGCATCAGCTGTCATTCCTGTTTTCAGACTTCTGGTTCCTCAAGATCAAGGCTGGCTTCCTTTGCATGGCCAGCTCTTCCAAGGGTTCATGACTGAAATGTCCAGGAGGAATAAAACTCCCTGGTGGACACACTGACACATACAGCTACTTCCCAAAGGCTCAGCTTCCCATTTGTAAAGTAGCCTTGCCCAAACATACTGAAACATAAACTGCTGGCACTGTGCCCGTGCTCAAAAGGCAATTGTTTGGCTGTGCAGGGCAGCCTAAACAACTAAATTAATCACTTTGGACAAGGCTTTACCGTGTATTTGTGCAATGCCTGGGACAATGTGAGCTTGATGCTGACTGGAGCTTCCAGGTACGGCTATAGTATAAATTTTTAAAAATTACATACATAAAAATTAAAATATCAAAAATTAATAAAAAAGTAAATATATAAAAAATATATTAAAATAAACATATAAAATTATAAAATACAAATACATAATATAAATTATGAATAGAAATGAATTTAAATGAATTATATATATATAGAAATAATTTGAGGAGAACCAGCAGCTTTATACATTTGCTTTCCACGAACAACCAACCGGTTGACCTTTACTAACGTGATGCAGTTGAGAAATGTAGCACAAGTGCCATGCTTGACAGGGGAATTCTGAATGAGATAAATCTGACTCTGAGCCTGGTTGTTCTCCCGGGTCACGTCTGCAGCGTGCGTCAGCAGCGGCCCAGGAGATGGGGATGCATTTTCCAACGCTGTGATTTACTCAGGAGCATTTTGTTTAGAGAAAATGAAATTAAGTCTGAAGAATAAGTGTTTTGTGATGAATTATTCGCCTTGAGAAGGCAGTAGCATTTAGCTGCTATTTTTTATTGACCTATATAGCACTTCTCACAGGTCCCACAACACGCTGCGCTGTTACAAATGAGGGGTCTCTGCAGATGCTCCTGACATACTGCTAGAAAATGTCACCTACAAGGATGTAGTATCATTCATCACCAAAATGAATGTGCCATCTGAGGTGTAAAGTAGCAGCTCTTTTAAGAGTAGCATAAGAACTCCTGCTTAAGGAAGTAGGTGCCATTTCTCTCAGAGCCACTCACTATTTTATGTGGCCAGATCTGATTTGTTCTATTAGAAAATGAAATTAGTGTGGCATTTTACCAGCCATATTATGAATGCACCAGTCATTTTTTCAATAAAATATGATTGTGAAACACTACACTACCTCCTAAAATGTTTGAAAATGTGGTAGGAGGTTTTCTAAGGGAAAAGGAAGCCAGACACTTCACTTATGATTTGATTTTTCAATTGACGTTAGACACTTAGTACCATTTAGTTCCTTGGGGAAAGAAAAAACTTCCTTCTTGGGTGAGCACCAACTAAATCAGCATGTTATCTGTCTGCCCTCTCTGTGCCAGCTAGCAAGATGCAAGGCAACCAAGTGTCATTTTGTTAAGAGATCTCCAAGGAACAACAATATTGCAATTTCTATGCATACAAGCACATGCATCATATGTATTACACCCAGGCATATAAAATGATTTAAAGTGTGGCTTGGCTTTTAAAAATAGCATCTCATTGTCTATTAATCATTGTCCTTGGAAGTTCTTTCATCAATTTACAGGCCCTCTTCTGCTGTGAATGCCAACAATGATGATTTCACAAGCGGGGATGATGAAGACAAACAAGAACCGTTGTTTACAACTACAGTGGCTGTTGATTAAAAAAAATAAATCCTCGTGGAGTCACAAGAACTCTGTCTGCAATCTGCTTGCTTATTCAGCCTGCCCTGGAAAAGTGCTTGTGTAGAGCTGGAAGCCAAACTGGAAGCTGAGAACTTGGGATCTGCCCTCCTGGAAGCAGCAGCGGCGGCGCCGGGCAGCGCGGTGCCCGCTGGCTGCACCCATGGATGGGGGGATGCTGCCAGCAGGATGCCTCTGTGGTGTGGTTGGGAATGGGCCCCCTTCCATGGCTGGCATGCCAGGATCACCATGATCCCACCCAGCTAATCACACTCACACCAGTGGAAATCCATGCCCTCTGTCTCAGACGCCCTTTTGGGATTGCATGTCCTCTGCAACAGAAGTTTTCCCACACCTGACATGCTGCAGCCCCTCATGCAACATAATCTAACTAATTAAAATAGAAGCTTGGATAGAATAATCTCCATTTCATCCCAACTAGGAACTCAATTCCTTAATGAAATCCCTTTAAAGGAACTTCCATAATTTTCTTCTGTTGCCCAGTGCACACTGAGGTAGGGTTTGGGGAGCTTTGTGCTAGTTCTGGATAATTTAGACAGGATGTATTAGGGAAGCAACTGCTTCCTTCCATGATTATTGTATCATGCTGTATTTATACAGGGCTCTGCAAAATTTCAGCCAAAGCACTCAGGCATCTCAGCTGTGCAGCACCACAATAAGAAGGGAGGAAGCAGACAATTCTTTCCTACCCAGAACAGACATCCTAAGACTCTAGAGACTGCTTACCTGTACACAGTGTTTTCTCTGTGAAGGTCTTCCAAGCCACAAAGAATCTCTGCTGCATAAAACAAAGCTCTTTCCTCCTCGAAGCCTGGGTTTCCCATGTTGTAGATATGAAACTTCAGGTCACCTCCGTTCATTATGGTCAGAACTAAACACAGTGCATCCTTTGTTTCATAGGCATAGGCTAAATTGACCTAGAAAAACATTTGCAGCACAGTTGTGACAGTTCAGATGGCTGCTAAGAAGGAAGTGCTAGCTCTTCATTAAAGATTTTCTCCAGAAAATTGAAAAAAAAATACATTGACTGAATTTGGTATGGGCTTTCTTACAATGGCAAACATGTATTTTAAAAGCACGGAAAAATCAGATGCTAGGATTCTACAGATTAATTTGTGGAATCCAGCCTATTTATCACCAGAAACCCTCAAGGCTCAGATGGCTTCAGAGGCTGGACAAACATACTCATTCCAGGCATATTTTCCCACGTATAAGAAATGTTAGTAATCAAGGGAATCTACACCTCCTGCTGCACCATTTTGCATCTGAGTGAGTTCCCTGGAAGGCCCAGATATCCCAGTCCTGGGTGATCAAATTGACCATCACGGAGATGTGAAGGTCAGCATCATCCCTGGAGGCTCTGGCGGGTGCCCAAGGAAAAATCAGAGCAGCCAAAATCTACCCATCACTTTTCAATACGTGCCATCCTCTGGCAGAGGCAAGTAAACATGTAAGCAAACACCTTGCATCTGCTGTATACACAGTGTTTCCTGAAATAAGTATAAAGAACATGACAGATGCTGAGATAACACCTTTTTTCTTTTTCTAAATCTAAGGCAAGTTTCAAAGGAGGCACAAGAGCTGGTGTGACTCAGGAGAGCCCTGCATCAGGCCAACCAGCTCCACCTCACTGCTTAGATGCTTCTGCAAGCCAGTCTCATCTGATCTGTTTGGGTTGAATCTCCTTCAGTCTCCTCCAAGCACCTCTCTCCCAGACCCTGGGAATTCAGGTGATCACACTGGATAAGAATAGCTCGTCCTGATGCAGTTGTGATGCAAGCCAAGGCTGTGAAACACATCATGCTCCCATGGCAGGCACAGGCCCCTTGACTGCTGCACTTCTCACGGACCAGAGACTAAAATGAGACTCAACAAAGGTGCACGGAGCAGGGCTAAGGTGCAAAGCAAAGGGATTCAGCTTCTGGCAACTTTCCAGGAACAGGAGATAGAGGAGGCACTGGATTCTACCAGAACAGGTGAGCAGGGAACCACAGAGCTCAAACAATACTCACTACAAACTGACTATTGACTTTTTCTAAAATCTGCTTCTCATTGAGTGCCATGGATTCGCCTTTCCTCTTCTTGATCCTCTTCTTCTCCAGTCTCTTGCAGGCGTACATCTTCCCCGTGGCTCGCACTTGGCAGGCGCAGACCTGCGGACGGAGCACAACAATTGCCGCGTAATTCGAAGCAAACGCTGTGTCTGGGCTGCGCTTTACTCCCCGCATCTCCTGTGCTTTGGTCCTGCTTTACTCCCCACCATCTCCTCTGCTTTAGTCCTTCTTTGCTCCCCACCATCTCCTGTGCTTTGGTCCTTCTTTGCTCCTCACCATCTCCTCTGCTTTAGTCCCGCTTTATTCCCCATCTCCTCTGCTTTAGTCCCGCTTTATTCCCCATCTCCTCTGCTTTAGTCCCGCTTTAGTCCCCACCATCTCCTCTGCTTTAGTCCTGCTTTACTCCCCACCATCTCCTCTGCTTTAGTCCTTCTTTACTCCTCACCATCTCCTGTGCTTTAGTCCCGCTTTATTCCCCATCTCCTCTGCTTTAGTCCCACTTTATTCCCCATCTCCTCTGCTTTAGTCCTGCTTTGCTCCCCACCATCTCCTCTGCTTTAGTCCTGCTTTACTCCCCACCATCTCCTCTGCTTTAGTCCTGCTTTACTCCCCACCATCTCCTCTGCTTTAGTCCTTTTAAGGCAGCTTAGCGAGCCAGGCCTAGGCAGGGCCAGCTGGGGCACTGACTACTGTTTCCAAACCTGCTGTGGAACATTGGTTTAATTATCTCACTTTCCTCTGCCTGCTTCCTCTCCCACCTCCTTTTGTCTGTGCGGATTTTAATCTCTCAGTCTGCACCTCCCCTGCCTCTGCTGCCACCTCCAGACACCAGGAAAATACAAATAAGGGTGTGACCCCAATTCCACTGTGAATGCAACAGCCAACACAAAACAACTCTCAAAAGTGTCCTTTTGAGATTATGGTGTCATGAGGGGTTAAGTAGAACTGTGAGCAATTAATGTAAATCAGCTTCTGTCACATCAGGCTCCTGTACCTGCAGTGCCTAAAAAGTAAAAAACACTCTTAACAGAAAATTTCAGAATTACTCACCTCCCCAAAGCCGCCTTTCCCCAGTACCCTGTACTGCCTAAACGTGTTTTTTGTTACTGGTTGCCTGGAAGAAAAGGAAATAAATAAATAACCCCCCCCACCACACTATGTTTAATGCACTCTCTGTGATTTATTTATTTCAGAGCATACTTTTGAAAAGCAAAATAGATAAATATTATATAATCCCATTATTTAAAGGTAATCGTATAATATAATATAATATATAATTACATAATTACATTACTTCAATACTATGTATGGCTTGAACTTTTCAATTCCAACATATTAAGCTGTAATAAAATACAACACATTAGTGAGTCATCAGTATAATTTCTGCTAGCATCTTAGGACCAAGGAGGATTCTGAATCTCCACTACACAGCCTTGGCCTTTGTTAAGCAAGGAGGAAGCCTGAGATCTTCCAGTGAGATATTAATTCCCATGACATATAGGGTGGGCTAACTCATTGCTTTGCTTAGCCAGCAAGATGAGAAAAAGAGATCCAAAACTCAAACCACTAGAAAATACTTCTGTTGTGTCAAACCAGCCATGAAACTCATATGAATCAAAGGCAGAAACAATCCTAGGAGAGATGGATTTGTGTGACATTTGCAGGCTGGGAGAGCAGGAAGACAAGATCCAAGCCAGTCCATTCCCTCTTGGGCTACCTGCTTCCTGGGGGAGCATCATGGGCAAGAAGGGATCAAAAGCAAAATTCAGGTTAAATAAGTCTGTCCTGGAGGGCAGAGTGCTCCCCATCACTTGACATGATCCCTACACAACCTCCCAGGCTTCCCACAAAATCTCCTCTACCAGAACGGCTCCAACTCTACACCAAACTTTTACTTTGCTCCTGTAAAAGTTTTTTAACACGGGTTTTTTAACAGGTTCAGCGGGATCCCATTTTGTTTCCAGCCCCAAGGTTTTACAAGGATGCCAGCAGTGGATATGAGCACTCCTGCTCTCCTGGCTCCCCTCTGGCGGGCAGCCAGCCTGCAGAGGGAGCACAGTAACGTGGCTGTTCCCACCACAGGGGTGATGAGGTTGGTGACGATGAAGAATAAATGCTGAAGCGAATCCTTTCATTAACACCCATTATTGTTTTCCAAAGTAGCGGAAGAATAGTATGCAGACAGTAAAAAACTAGAAGAGGAAAAGATGTTATTTTCAGTATTCTGTGAGGCTGTTGCAAATGCTTTTGGGGTTAAAAGCAACAATTAGGAGTGATAGCTACATGTTCAGCAATGTCCCTGGAATTAATGGACTCTGTGACTGCTCCTTTAGAGCAGATCACTCCATGCTACTAACATCTCTTTGCTAATCCTAAAAACAATTCTCCCAGCTTCTTAAGCCAGGCATATCCAATAGCTTGTCACACTTGTTGGGGGAATGGAAAAAAAAATCCTCAAAGCATTGCAGAAAATTCCTTATCCCTAATGTGAAAACAGATAGGAAATAGCCTGGCTAGAGATGAATCACCCAATGTTTTTTTAATTGAAATGGAAGAGTAAATGCTGGGCTCAGTAAAGATGGCATGTGGAGCACGTCTTGGCATGAAATGGCTCTTCCCTCTGCCCACCCCTCATGAGCAGCAGCTTTGTAGCTTTCCAGGGAGAGGAACTGGCACAGCTCCTTTGATCTGGAGGCGTCCTGCTGACACACACCGCTCATGGATCCGGCCCTGGCTCATCCGCCGTAATTAATGCCATTTGTGGAAAATGGGGCTTCTCCCAGCTCAAGGTCACTGTCACCCAGCAGTGACCGTCTGCTGCAGCACTCCCTGACAAGGGAAAGGCACAAGCCCTTTCCTTGCAAATTAATACCCACTAAGGCTGCCTGGTTATTAAATGTGCTCAGGAATGTCCAGCCAATAAATACAGTGAGACGATCTATATGCCACATTTTTCCTCTCTTTAGAGTGATTTAATAACAGTGACAACTGGTCCAGACAAAAAGTCACCACATTCAGAGGGCAGCTAAACAGAAAGACAGCTGAAGTTGCTGAATGTACATTAATCATACCTAATATGTTTAATGTACCTAAGCCCATTAAATGGTCCAACACTTGAGCTGTAGAAGCAAACATTATCTCAACTGTGAGATATTGAGAATATTCGACAGACTTTGCATGGAAAGTAAAAATAAACATTTTTATTTATTTTTATTTAAAAAAAAAAAAGTGACACTCACCTTTCCAACCACTTCCACTGGAGAAACCTGTCGAAGTACATGCTGTTTAGGTACTCTTGGAATGGTTCCCCACTGAGATGGTCAAGGACAGATCTATCTCAGATGAAAAGGATATATAAGCATTTTATAATCCTGAACTTTGAGCAAAAGAGAAATAAAACAAGAGGAGAAAAGTCCAGAGTTCTTGTACGGTAGGATTATGCTATTTCTACTTTATTTTTCACTTTATTTTGTACTTTATTTTGCTCACTGGTTCAACATAGAAACAAAGTGATGTGCTTGATGTATTTCATAACAGGAGGCCTCATACAAGCTGAATACTGGTGATGCTTGCTGAAAATTTTCAGGGCAAATCCCAGTGGCTTTAATGGACTTTGACAGAGGTTGTTAGCCACCATACAGTGAATGTCTTTGCTTCTGTTAGTAAACTGAAACAACATCCTCAGGAACTGAGCTCCTAAACTTTGAGGGATGTTTACATCTGGATAGAAAATTTCTGGCTGAAGCCCATTTCTGTCAAAGGGAGATCATCTGAGACATCATTTTGAGCAAAAATATCAGTTTCAATTCCTGCTATATAGAAGAATTAGTACATGTGACTAAACTGAAAGGGGATTTCCTAACAGCTATGTGCTTTGTAGAGAAAAACAGAGGAAAGAAAAGTCTGAACAGGGATGTGGATTTGCTTCTGGATCAAGAAAAGAATTTTAGGGCTCACGCAGTGGATGGAGCCTTTTGCATAATGGAAGGAATAAAGGAATAAAAAGGTCAGTTTGCAAACGTGAGAAGAAAGTCTACTGCTTGTGGCAGGCAGCAAACAGCCAGAGAGCATCAGGCATCCCATCAGAAAGGCCAAAGGCTTGGAACTAAGAAAACATGGGCTGAGCTGGGAGTTGTCTGAAATTAAGGTGATCATGTTGTTTAGCAACTACTGGTGATGGTTCTTGCTTTGCTTACTGCATCCACCTCTGCTGGCAGCATTGGCAGGACACAAGCTGGGTTTGGGTGAAAAGTGCCCAAAGAAATGAGCATTTCTGTCTGGGTGTATACAGACACATTTGTGTCCATGTCTAAGGGCATACAGACACATTTCCAGATCCTGCTGGAAGGAGGAAATCCTCTCTGAATGACTGCTCTAGTCTGGGGATGGATAGTCTACGTCTTGCCCTGGGGCAGTTCTCTGAGCAAACAAGTCACCATGAGTAATGTGTCTCCTCAGTTCAGTTCCTCCCCGTTCACGAGCTAGTATTTTTGGAATTTCTCAGCTGTTACAATATTATTATTTTTTTTAATGCTTGCGCCACCAATTTGGAGAAGGCAGGTAATTGCACATGTACAGTGTGCACAAGTCAAATCGTTGCTGTCTTCATTAGTTTTGACTGGACACAGATCATAAGAGTTTCCCTTAATGGATTAAAGATTACAAAATAAAATCAAAAGTAAGTCTTAATTTATTTTAACAAATGTCCAAATTCAACATCAGAATTTTAGGTGATGTTGGAGGAGGGCAGGAGCAGACAGTCAAAATATTAAAGCTAAAAGCAGAAGTTACATACACGCACTTTTCTTACAGACTGATTTTTTTCTATGAAGATGTGAATAGAACTCATCCCATCCCTGCTCCTCCAGGACAGCAGGCTTCACATCTGTATGTGTACCTCCCTTTTCTGGTGTGACTGTGAACCCTTACAAAATTAATATCATTCAGCACCAGTAAATACCAACAGCAGTTTTAAAAAACTTCCTTTTGACCTCATTTTAGTCTGTGTGAAATGATCAGCATATTTATTAACAAGGTCCCAAACCTGGCTCATTCCTGGGTTTCAGCTGGGATGAAGGAAGGAGCCTGCATTAAGTGGTGCCCAGTGCTCGCCCTTTCCATTCAGTTAATTAAAAGCTGCACGTATTTTAAAAGAACAATAGCTGCCTTTCAGCAGTTGTTTGCTTTTTATTTCCCCTCTTTGGCAACAACAAAGTGCATTTTAGAGGGAACTGTCAGCTTTCAGACCGATTTGAGAGCTGGAAACAGGCACCAGGGGGGTTTGTGTGGAGCACAGCTCTGCCTTTGTCACTGGGACTGGCACCCACAACTGGTGCGAGCCACAGAGCATCTCTACAGGACACCAGGCCCATGCAAGGAGACTGCCTGTGCTACAAGGGAAGGCCAGAAATAACCCACAGCTCCTACCAACGCAAAGAATAACTGGAACCAGAAAAGGTCAATGAAATGAGTCAAAACAATGAATGACAGCGGAGCAAATTTTACAAATCCCCATTACATCACCCAGGGAAAACAAACCGCGCTCAGCCAGAAACCACACGGGCCCGCGTGCCATGGTCCCTCCTTTTCATGTTTTTATTGGTTTATGATCTCCTGGCGTGGATGCACTCGGGGCAGGGTTTGCAAAGGCAGATTGCATACCTGGAGCTTTAGCACATAATGGCACAAATCGCTGCAGAAACTGATAAGCCTTTTCCCAGACAAAGGGGGAAATAATGCACGTTGGTTTGAGCGCCACAGGCAGACAGAAAGCATTAAAAAAGCTCCGTTCTCCTGGTGAAGATTTTCTGGAAAAGCCATGCGGAGCAAGTTTGCACATTCCTCTGTCTAAATGGACTGTATAGCCACTTAATTTTTATTCACTTTGAAACAGAGATGTTTTCTTTGGATCCATTATCATTGTAGCTCTTTTCACACAGCATGAAATCCACGGCTGGTTTACTTGGCTGGAACACTCTGTCAAATACCTGAAACAGTAAGTGCCTGTGTGTATGGCATATAATGGCATGGAAATATTTATTATATTTTTGTTCAGATGAAGTGACTTCACCGCTTGTCAGCTCTGCCTCAAGGACTGTGAGCAAAGATACCTGCCTCAGGTTCAGGCTGAAACGTCTCTACTGCCAAATTCCTCACAAGCTGCTGGCTGCAGCCCTGGCATCTTTGGGTGTCGTGTTATACTTACTTTGTACAGGGAGAGAACAGCTCCTTGCAGGGGCTGTTTTCGAGTTTCTCCTCTGTCTGCTGGATAAGTTCTTGACTGACTTCGGGAACATAGGCTGGAGACTGGGGAGAGAAGAGAGGGGCACATTAACTCTCCACGAGGTGCAGATTCTGCTCTCCTAATGTGTGAGAGGCACATTCATTATTTATGCCCCTGAGCTGCTTCCATTCAATTCCAGCGGTTGTGTAAAAGCAAAGGAGCTTTACGTCAAAGAGCAGTAAAATAGGATACCGTGGCAACTCGCTCCACATTCCACTCTATCCTCACATTGCTTTTCTGCCTTCTCCGGTACTTTCACCTCCTTGCCCAGCCTCATGAATATGCAGGACCCACTCCTTGCCAATTCTTTGAACTGCTCCCTTGCATCCCATGAAAAATGTGCTGGCCTGAACTGTGTGCAGCCCATTTTATTAAACAAAAGAGAATTTGCCCAGTATTTTCACTTCATGGGTGATTCATTGTGCTGCCTGAAAAATCAATTTTTTTTCCTGTTTTTTTCTTCTTTTTTTTTTTTTTTTCTTTTTTCACCAGCAAAGCAAAACAAGAGCAGAGCATTGGTACCTATTGATATAGATCTATATCTATCTATATATTAAAAAGATGTTCACAAAAGTATCTGGACACCTTAGTTCATCTTTAGACAAAAATAATTCAGCAGCTTTAAAATAATAATTTCAGAAAGGAACTTTGCCAACCAACCACATACACTCTTTTCATTCTCTCCTCCCTTAGAGAGAATGTACATTCAACCCTGCAAACCTTACCAAAGAGAGGTCTCTTGCAATATGCCTTGATGGTTAACCAGTTTAGGACTTTTGGGACTAATTATCTAAAAAGACAGTTTTTTAGGCAGTCCACATTCTTACACATTGACTGCATCCTGTAGTTATATTACAAAGTGTATATTTGTGTGTGTGTGCACCTATTTAAAGGCATTTCTCCCATGTACATGAAAGTCCCTTTATATAACCAACTGGATTTGGGTATTTTCAATAAACTCAGCCATAGATGGTAAAATCCTCTTCCCTTGCAGAAGCCTTAATGCTCAGTAAGGTCCCCCATCCATGCCCACAACCACCAGATGTGCTGAGTGGGTGGGGCACAGAGCATCATCCCTCATTCCTGGCCAGATGTTCTCATTAACTCACCCCTAGTCAGAGATATCTTGGCAAGCACTGAAATGCATTGCAGGCAGAGTTCAAAAACACTGGGAATGAGGACAGGGGAAGGGGCAGAGGTGGAGCCACAGAAAATCTCCAGCATGTTGAAAGCTGAATTAAGTCTTTTATCTTTTCCTTCCCACTGCTGAAATGTGAATATGATCCTGGTTGTGACATGAAAAAGTAAGTTTGTTCCACTTGAATGTTTTTAAATAGGAACATGGTTTACAGAACTGTCTGTGCACGCTGTGCAATGCACTCTCACTGCTCAGCCTTGACAGACAAGCTGCAGAGCGTGCTGGGGACACCTCTGACCTCACTGAAATGTTTCCTCATTTCCTCAATACATTCCTCCATTTCCTCAGCAAAAGATATCTAGGGAACACCCACTTTTAATCACAGACAGAGTAGATTGCTAATAATTAAAGAGTCTCACGGTTTCTTGAGAGGTAGATCAGCCCCTCATGTTAACATCTAAAAGGCAGAGACTGAGACAAAGCCGGTTTTTCTCAGCTTGATTGACCACTGAGGTAACTATACATGCCCACAACAAAATCTAAGTCCCAGTTTTAGTTCAAGAGAGTAAGTAGAGGCAAGAGGGAAGCAATGAAAGAACTACACAAAAACCTCCTGTTTTCCAGTCCTAGAGCACTGAAACTACTGGGGAAAAGACAGGGAAGCAGATTAAACCAAAGGTTTTTAAAGCAATATTCAGATATGAATAAAAGCCTAATGATTTCAGCTGATTTTGGCTACAAACCAGAAGAATGAATACCTTTAATTTACAATTTATGCACTCAGTGGATACACATTTGCACACACATATTCGCTGGTAGCCCAGAGCTGGTAGGTGGCTGTGTGAATCCAGTGGTCCAAGCCCTGGGTCAAGATGATAATCTCTCTGATTTACAGGGAACAGAAACACCCATGAACTCCACAGTTTTGGGGCTGCTGTGGACCAGGAGTGTTTTTGATGTGAATGGAGCAGCACTTCAGTAAAATCCATTCCAGGGCCTCTAACTGAAGTTACTACTGACTACATCTGGAACTTGTTCTGCTTTTAGAGGTCAAAACAGGAATCCAAAAGCTAAGTACTAAACTGCATAATTAGTCATTTAGACCAAGTGACCTGATTCTTACTCAGGCCAGGCAATTTCATCTCCCATTGGGAATTCATTTCCCAGTGGAAGGTAAACTGCCTTAAGGTTAGTGTTGAAGATCATGCCCATGACACATTACTGGAGCACTAATTCCATCAAACTTTGTCTGAGATCAAAGTACATTTTAAAAAATAAATTATAAGCATCAGCTAACTCTTATTCATAAAGAGGAAATTAAATTATTGTAGTGAAAGGGGGAAAGAATGAGCAAACGAAATAGTAAGTAAGACAATGTGGGAAGTATTTAAAAATGACACAAACTGTGATTCCTCTCTCCAAGTTTGTGGGAGATACAGTCACCACTTGGTTTTTCAAAACCACTCATTGCTGACCTCTGAGTCTTTACTTCCTCTGCATAAACTTGAGCAAGGTAACAATATCAAGGTAGGCAAAGACAGGAATTCACTGAAACCCCATGCCTGGACTAAAGCCTTAGAGTGCAGTGAAAACACTTCTCCAGACCACTCAATTTCCTATAACAAGGAATAGAGGATTTTTTTTTTTTCCCCAAAAGCTGATCATTTCCAAAGCTTCTGTAGACCCAGCAAAACATTTTGTGCCATTCTACAGCCCTTCACAGAGTTCAGGGCACCACATGCCTGGGAAGAACATACCCAACCCTTCCCAACTCTGCCTACAGCTCCAGGGAGCCTTTGTATGATCCTTCCTGAGAATATCCTTGAGACTTCCCAGTTCCCACTGCTCCCATTAAACAGCCATGGCTGCCACTTTCCCTGAGTGAATATTGTGCATACCCACAGCCTTCAGAAGTTCAAACAAAACCAGAAACAATTACAACCCAAAACCCAACCCACCAACCTACTTTTGCTCCCCTGGAGAACCATTAGGTAGCACAGGTTATGCGTGCAAGGAAGCCTTTGGATCCCAAGAGTGAAAGCTTCCAAAGGTAACACTCTGGCCATTTACAGATGAAAAAGTTGCTTCTTCCCTGGAGAGGTGCAGAAGATTTCTGCAGCCACAATGAAACGGTTATTAACACCATTCTCCTGCTGCACTATGGGCAATGGCTGTAAAAGCAAATTTGGCTTTTACAAGGGAACAGAGACACCTTTTCCAACATATTAAATGTCCTGTGGTAGCTAGGAGAGCCATACACCGTGATTAAAACCATTACATCTGAGCTTGTGACAAAGAATATTCTGCTAACTCTTCAGAAGCACCTGCAGAAACCAGTTACACTTTCTTGCATTCAAAATGAAACACTGGGGAGTTACAAGTATAGTTCCATATTTCCCCTAATGGCTATTCTGTTTCCTGAAGGCAAAGAAAGAGATTCTTAATCTCACTTACAATAATGTAATCAGAAATTATGACAGTCAAACTAACTGATTAACACTAGGGTAAAGCTGATGGAACTGAAAGCAGATTCATGGCAGCACAAGATGTACTGAAGTTGATCCTACAACAAAAATTTCTCTCATCACATTATCCTTATTGATCAGATATTTTAATAATAGTCAAAAAGTCCACACTACTTTTACCAGTTTTTAACCAAAATCTACCTCCTGTACCTTCTCTTGTCAGGCCAGAAACTGGAAACCTCTCTACAAATATTTTGCTGGCATAGCAATAGCTCTGTTTTATGATACTCTCCCATTTAATTTTTAAGAAAAGAATGCAACTAGGAATTGTGTTAGTGGTTATTTGAGAAACAAGAAATGGATATTCAGTTACTTCTGAGTGCCATTATCCCACCCTGAGAAAAGTCTCCACTTTTAAATTTTTTTTATCTGTCTTTAGAAAAGAGTTCCTCTCAGATGCTCTCCCCTTTCCGTTAATGGCATGAGAACAGCTGATATGCCTCACACTTGCTCAGGGTTAGTTGTGTTCATGCCCACAAAAAGTCTGGATGTCAGCAGGGCCCTGTCCAGCAACAGTGTCTGGTGCTGCCCATGGCCTGGCACCCCACTGAAGTACTGAAAATTCTGATTCAGATCAGATGAGAGCTTCCAGGCTCTGTGACTCCCCATCATCTGTTATTTTGAATGTCATGTTGCATCGCTGCACTTTAAAACGTGGCCTCTCCTTTTCTGACAGCTCTGTAAGTTTTGCTACAGGCTATTTCACCCAGATCTCCAAGACCCAATCTTTGCTGAGTTCACTGAACAGGACAGCCACCAAAAACACCTCTCTAAGTCATCTCTGTGTGTTTGCCACGCGACTCACAGCATCTCTCAGTGCTTCCCCTGCGACTGCGTGGGGGACATCCGACCTTTTATTGATCTATCAGCAAATCAAACTCTTTATCAAACAAGCTGAAGTGCTGGCAGTACCAAGGGAGGCATTCTCTTTTACTTTTTTCAACAGACGTGTTATTTGTTCTACCTTTTCTTATGAGATAAGAAACATTCCCAAACATTTACTGTGCATGACCTCGGTCAAGACGTGGAGCGCTACAGGCGTCGCCTCCACGCCTGTGCGAGTGAAAGCAGCCAGCCTGCAAGCAGAGATTGGCACTTTGAAGGAACAGAAGCATTTTGCTGGCAGCCCAGCAGCTGGGGCTCACACTTGTGGAACTGGGGCGAGGTGGGAAGCAGGTGTCCCCAGTTATTCCCACACAACACAAACCTGCGTGGGCAGAGCTGGCTCGCTGTGTGCAACGCCGGTGTTTCCATGGGAAAAGTGCCCAAATGACAAAGTGGACTGAGAGGGGTGTCTTGAGGATCCAGCTAAAGACATATCCAGCTGGGGTCACCACCATTTGAGAAACCTATAGAGAGC